GGGGGGGGGGGGGGGGGGGGGGAGTTGAAAAATTGAAATAATGGGTGACGTAAATTTATAGTCGGCACCTTACGGCATTTTTACTTTGGATGGCAGAAAACCTCTTGGGGTGTAAACATTGTTTAGCAAAGGGGATTTAAATCCGCCGTAGCCTGGAATCCACCGCGCAAAAACCTCGCGAACAATGAGCCATTGAACAGCATTTCATCGGAGGTTTACTTACACGTGTTTCCGTCAGAATCCGGTTTGAAGATCTCTATCCGGCCGTTCCGATGTTCTAATCTCAATAGAGTCCAATTACTGGAAGACCATAACAAGTTCGGAGTCAACGCGTGACAGACAGGACGCTCCCGTACGAGAAGTGGCGCCTAGACATCAACCAGTTTACGCGGAGAAAATACGAGGTGCCCGCCGAAGCCGGCACGATTTCCGCTACAAGTTCATTGCTAAGTGTTCTTCCGTTTCGCTGTGCGGTAATACCTGCACCAGTCCCGTTCTTGGTCATGTCATCTATTAGCGCGCGTAATTGACGCGAGCAGTTGCCCGGAAGCAACCCATATCATTTGCATCGGCCTGAAATTCTCCTCTCATTCTCTTTCTCTCCCGAAGAATGCTCAATGGACCACTAAGACAAGGTACGAATTTCAACATTCTGATACATGTTTTTTAACTAAAATTTTACGTAGAGCACGAAACGCACAACGAAAATGAACGAAATTAACTCCTTACGAAGATATTTAATGTTTCTTGATGCGTGAATTCAAACCACCCGCTCATGAAAACTCAATGCTCTACGTGATTCACATCGCGCGCTAAACGTTATCATGACAGTCTCTGCGATATAAAAATCTGGCAACCTCGATCTTAACGTTTTGGCTCAGCTGTAGCAAATTGCTTATAGTATGAACAACGCACGGTGGGAAATGAACATTGCTCGATTGAGAAGCTTGCTGAAACCATTGTAGTGCGCGATTTGACTCACGTAGAGCTTTGAGTTATCTTCGTTAGGAGTTGGTTTCAGTAATTTTCGTTGTGCGAATCGTGTTTTACGTGAAATTCTGGTTAAGAAACTTGTATTAGATTGCTTAAATTCGTACCTTGTCTAGTGGCCCTTCTTTAAAAACAAATCTGCCTAGTGTAGGGCTCATTTCTGCTACCTTTGGAACCGAATTTTGTCGGTCCTTCCGGGTGCGAACGAAAATTTCGGTTCCAGGGACCAAAAGCTCCATGGGTGGTAGAGCCCGCATGGCGAATGTAGGAAGTGTCCAAAAATATTAAATGATCGATTTTTTAAAATTTCTCCCAGAATCTCCTCCACTTGATATGCCTCGTTAAAAATATCTAAGCCCTAGAAATCTCGAAATATTCAAGTAAAAAGAATAAAACCTTATCGAAACTCTAAATACAGTTTTACTTTGCAATGGCACGATATGATTTTAAAAAAAAGTCACTGAAGAGTTCCAAGTCTTGAACTTTTATGGTTTGCGCGCATTAAACACGAGTATAGCTTTTCTAAAAATAGAGTGAAAAATTGAGAGGAGTGCATTTTTAAGGACGGCCCGAATGAGCAGTTAATGAATTGCGTGATAAAATACGGAAATTTACTGCTCATAAAAGTAACGAGGATCGAAGACTTATAAAATTAAAGTATAGATCTTTGCATCTGGTGTCCCATATTGTGCTCACCACTTTCCATGTTTATTGATACTGGTCTAAAGTCAACTGAACTAACTCTCCCTCTCCTCGACGCTCGTGAAAAAATGTGTTCGTTACTAATCGCCAGAAAATGTTTAGGTTGAGTGGACTCGAGCTTAAATCATCAAGAAAGTAAAACATCATAAGCGTTGGTGCCGGACTTGGCGAGAGATTATTCATTCTACTTGATAAATTGGACAGAGTGACTTTTTTGTACTCAATTTTTCACCGACCATGACGCTTTTAGATCGTACCTGTGCCGCTTTAAATTAAATGAGTCAGCTGCTCGCAAGAGATACAGACAAATAAATATACTACTAAATAGGTAAAATTGCACGAAAATTGCGTTGGTCGCGTCAAAAAAGTCTGAGATCCATTTCCTTAGCGAGCAATCTGCGTAGTATGTAACACGCTTTTTCAAGTTTCCCGCGTCTACGAGCAGTTTCTCTCAGGTACCACCGCACAGTGGATCGAATCAACAGGAGAGCTCGGACAAAATTTGGAAACTTTAAAAGCTTAAAACTCTGTTCCTACAAAAATTTCAGATTTTAACAGCGGTTCCATTGGTTTCCTCGTAAAATTGTCTTCCAAAACCACCCCTCAAAATTTAAAATGTGATGAAATAAACATACAAATTTGCAGTTTTAGTCAAAAATTCCACGTCCGACCTCTCTAATTGACTCGATCCACTGTGCGCCGACCAGGTTTGCTCAGGCTGAACAGCAAGAAAAACTAACCTGAGTGAACAAACGATTACACCAACTTTTTCTATTGCATGATTCCAATCGTTTTCAAGCGTCTGCTTCCTTTTTCTCTCTTAATTTTACATAAGCAAAAGCTTTGAACCAATTGAAATCTTACGCGAGGAGAATTTATTACCCACAATTCGCGAGATTATTCGTTTACTTTGGTTACGTCTCTCTCCGAAAAAAATCTGACTGTCGGCTACTATGGAAAACTGCCCGCAGACGCTGAAAATTTGAAGACGCGCATTCATACGCAGATTACGCGCTAAGGATAAAACATTATGATATTGTATTATAGAGTTTGGTTTGTGTGAAGTCTAAACTTCACAAAACCAACACTCGTCTAAAATCTAAAAAACTCCAACATCCCGTCTAAACTTCAAAAATAGGGGAAGAGAGATATCATCTCCACCTCCGTTTGAGGCAGTGTAAAGCAGCCAATCACAGAGAAAAAAATCAAGTGCATTTTCCTGTTCATAAAGTTTCAACGCTTCAGCTTTCCCGATAAAACAAACAACGCTGCAATAAGTAACGCTTGCATATAGCGCTTCGCATTTCCGTGTTTTTCCCCTGTTTTGTCGAGATGATTCGTTTCTGGACCCTTTCCAAAATAGTGCAAGGTCCACGGCCCTTGATATCAATGCTGCCAAGTTATTACTGTAATGAGACTACATGAGCAATGTGGCGCGGAAAAAAGGTAAATTCATTCATTTCGATTTCTCTGGGCGACAATAGCAGGTAATGACCGGACGTTAACTTAGCGTTTAGACGGATCTGATTATTTTTTGCGATGCTGTAAGCTTAAAAAACATTTCAAAATAGTACTCTCGGACAAGCGTCACCGACGCATTCCGTAGACCATTTTTTTCTCAACTTGTTGCATTTCCTTGACTTTATAAACTTCGCTTGAATCATTCTCCAGGTTACATCCGAAACATTTTTGACTGAATTAATCTTATTTTATCCATACAAAAAGAGAAAGAAAAGAAAGAAAAAATAACAAAATTAAGGTAAACTCACTTGATTCTTTTGCTCCTTTTCTGAAACTGTCGTAAAGCGTCCTGGTGTCCTCAGTTAGATACCCCAAGACTTTTCCGTCTTTGGCATCTTTGTAGAACTTTGACACACGAACTGTATCTGGCCCCTGAGAGAAAAGAGAAAAAGTATGTTTTAGGAGGAATTATTTTAAGGCGGGGATAATTCACGTGCGACAGAAAGAAGTTTTCTGCGAGAGGTAAACCTGAAAATTGGCGTGGTTTTCACACAATTTTAAGAACGTCATGTCGATGGTTCAGACTAGAGCTGTGGCCTGTCAATATACTTACATTAGCACACTCAATTATTTTTACTATGCATATTCTTTACAAGGCTAAATAGGACGTATTTATACTAAAACGAAGTATGTTACATGAAATCCCTATGCACATAGTTCCTTTTGACATAAATACGTCCAATATATCGATTACCAAACCGCAAACCTACGCATTTTCGTTTGAGATATTGCAGACTACCTGTCATGCATTATTTTTTCTTTGGAAAATGAGTAGAAGTTCTTAAAAACTTCTTTCAATTTTCGATTTTTTTACCCTCGTTTTCCTTGCAACGCACCCGTAACGCAGCCTTACGCCCCCCTTCTGCATTACGTAACGCTGGCCTGACCTCCCCCTCCATTAAAAAAAAAAAAAAATCAACAAAACTCTGAGAAAACAGATTTAAAAAAAATCGGGTTTTATTTTTGGGAGATATTTTGCTGGGTCACGCGCCGAAAAGACTCAAGTATTTGTGAAGGGTAGGATTTTCAGTTTTTTGCACGTTTTTTTCAAAGCTATTTTCCCCCGGCTCGGATTCGTTATGCAACGCTGGGCTTGACCTCCCCCCTCGTCCCCTTGTACCACACAGTAAAGCTAGTTTAACCCCCCCCTCTCCTCCACCACCACCGCCCTAAGTGCATTGCGTAATACTTGAACGGCCCTTAACAGCTTTTATTCTTGTACTAGAGGGTTATATTTGTTTAATATTTTCGGTTAATATCCAATAGATCCTCTTATTGGTGGATTTACCAGTTGATTAAGTTATATGATTACTGATGCTCTAGGTGCCTAAGTGAGCACCATGCACGTCTATTGATGTGACCGCAAATTCATTGGAGACAAAAAGGAGGGTGAAAATATATTTCCAAGCACACTCATAGGGGAAGCTCTGAGCATTCTGACAAGTTGCTATCATAAATATGATGAAGTGCCTCGTCAAGATGGTTGACGAAGTGTGAAGCTACCGACCCGCTGATGTCACATTCCTAGCCGTGACATTTGTCTTTGCGAGCAAATACATCAAAATAACATTCGCTCTTCCTAAGAGGGCGGCATCAATTAATCATGATCATGTTTCTCATTGGCATCAGTCACATTCATGTCACGACTGCTAAATTCATCCATCTTCTCACCTCTCTATTTCCTCTCTTCTCACCTGATGTCACTATAAGTGGAGGACTGCAGGTGGTTTTTGCATTGGTTCCTTTTTCAATGATCTTGTTGGTTGTCTTTAAATGGGCCTGTTGCAAACTTCAGCTGGAGTAAAAAGACAAGTTCTTCGTTATAGAAATTAAAAGGCTAAAAAATCACGATGAGCGTACCAGGAAAGTCCGTAATACGTTCCTCACTTCACAATCTGCGGGAAAAATATTCGTTTTTTTGTGTTCCCGCTTCAAAAAAGATACAACGGCAAAGATGAACATTTCGTAAGAGGAGTCGATCCATCCAATCCTTCCGCCCTGTGATGCTACGCAATATCCAACATGGTCGACGACAACCCGCCAAAACACAAGTGACGAAACGGGAATTTATCAACCGGCGTTTTTTGCGATGACATTTTCCTTGCGTTGATGAAGAACGTGGTGCTTCCTCACGATATGCGCGCGGAAGCGTCAGCCCTGTTGAATATTGAGTGGCAAATTAGAGCGCGAGGGTTGAAAGGAACGAATCCTCTTACAAAATGTTCATCTGTTCCGTAGTATCCTTTTCGAGGCGGGAAGCTTAAAATAATTCATATCGACGTCATGGGCCGGCTTTAGGGAATGGCCACATGATGGGCCACGGCCCATGGCGGCAAATTCAGGGGGCGGCACATTTTGCAATTTTTTAAATGTAGGTATCAAAAAAAGAGAGAAAAAAATCGGATTCAGAATATAGATTACAAACGAGAAAAGGCGACAAAATCTCTCATTTCCTGAGAGTAAAAGTATAGTAATTTCTAATTTTATCGTCTTTCGGTGATACAAGATACAACACCTTTAAATAGTCGAGTTAAGAGGGAAACCCAACTCGCAATTTGACCTGGAACGGAGTGGCACGGTGGTTGGCATGAAACACACAGCGCCTACAAGACTCCATGAATACTTCATGCATTGCGTCAAACACAGTGCGGTCAGCAGCGCGGTCGCCGTGAAACGCATAGCGCCTACAAGATTGCATGAATACTTCTCGCATTGCGTCAAACACAGTGCGGTCAGTTTGTTCTTTCATAATGTTTTCTTTCATTTCTTATAAATGGAAGGCCTTGTTCACACAGAGATAGGTTCACCCAACTTAACTTTTGCGCAAAGTTCCGCGAACTTTTGCTAGTAATGTTGACAGGGCTTCGCAAAAAATGTGTCCAATACGAGAAAACGCGTCTCATGTACCCCTCCCTGCTGCACGCTCACTTGATGGTTTTTATCGATGTTTCAAAACGAATGAGAAGGGGGCGGCAAAATACAGGCGGCCCATGGGCGGCAAGTAGGTAAATCCGGCCCTGATCGACGGTGAAATTCCCAAACTACGTATTTCGGTTTGCAACATTGCAGACTCATTGTCATACTTTATTCTTTGAAAGAAAAACCACTCAACGTACATTCTCTAAGATATCTGTGATTTTTCTGCTCTGTGCGAAGAAAATTCTGTGAAAACTTCACGAAATAATATTGATTCGCTTTCAGAAAAAAAGTAATAATAGGAGCGGAGATTTTAAACACCGCAAACGAGATACGTGGTTTAGGAGTTTCACCGTCGATATTCCTTGCGCAGATTGTGAAGTTAAGAGTGTATTTTAGACTTCCTCGATGCGTTCATCGTGATTTTTGAGCCATTTTCTATCGTAAGTAACGATCTTTTTTGCTCTAGCTGAAGTTTGCATCAGGCCCATTTGATCTTGAGACCTTGGGACATGCTCAGGGCAGTAAGTGGACAAACTGCCTTTACCGCTGCGAAATGCAGAGAACGCCATCTCCTTGGAAACCACTGTGAGAGTATGTGTTCGTCTTGAACGAGGGAATGCAACGTGGAAAAGTAAAGCGGCGTGTTGGTGCGCTGTTTCATCTTGCCGAGAGACTTTTGGCAAAGACCCGCGTCAAATGGCATTCATGCATATTAGACAGACGAGACAAAAAATGCGAAACAAAATAGGTCGTTGTTTCTCTCACGTACCACTTTCTTTGCTCGCTCCGCACCTTGCGAACCAGCACGTAAGTCTTTGAGTCGCTTTAGAAACTACACGTTTTCGAGGCCTTAACTGGCCCAAATTTTGTCATTTCAAAAATGCTAAGGAGTGGAGGTTTTGCACACACAAATTGTATTGTTCACCTAAGGGTGGTTAATGAGCTGATTTTGCAGTATTTTTCATAATTTTGTTCTGACATGGGAAATAAGAGAAAAATAGATTCAAAAGTGAGAAAATGAACTACGCCCAGTTTTACATTGTATCTTATGCAGATCAAATAAGCACGTACCCTATGTATCCCGCAAATCTCTAGTTCCTATGACGGCTAGTAGTTCATAAGTGCGTCCAAAGAACCCATAAAGTGAACGTGCCGGAGGAGGAGGGGTACATAAGACGCATATTTACTCGTGTTGGGCACATTTTTTATGAATGCCCTGTCAACACTAGCAAAAGTTCACGGAACTTTGCGCGAAAGTTAAGTTCCATAAACCTACCTCTGTGTGGACAAGTCCTTTCATTTAAAAGATATGAACGAAAAAATTATGATAAAATAAACATGAATGTGGCTTAATAATTTTAATTTCCGCCACCACGCCAACCGCATCGTGTTTGGCGCAGTGCGTGAAGTATCCCTTTAGCCTTGTAGGCGCTATGCGTTTCATGCCGACCGCACTGTTTTTGACGCAATGCGTGAAGTATTCATGCAGTCTCGTAGGCACTATGAGTTTCACGCCAACCGCTACTGACCGCACTACGTTTGATGCAATGCGCGAAGTATTCGAGGAGTCTTGTAGGCGCTAATATGTGTTTCATGCTGACCAGCGCGCCGCGCAGGCTTCTCCTCTCCTTTACATCTCAAGTCCTCGTCATCATTGCTCTCACCGCCGCGCCGCGCCGCGCCGCTCCAGGCCAAACTGCGTGTTTAGTTTCTCTCTCAACTAGACTAATAGAAGGCTCTGTCTCTTGTAAGACGAAAAAATTAGTAATTACTATACTTTAACTCTCAGGAAATGGGATATTTATTCCCCTTTCTCGCTTGTAATTTTTTTTCCTGGATCTGATTTTATTTTTGATACCTACATTTGAACAAATTGCAACATTTGCCGCCTCCTAAATTTGCCACCATGGGCCGCGACCCATGTGGCCACCCCCTGATTCCGGCCCTGTCATGGTTTATGCAGGCCAAAAATAAATGCTATGAAATAAATACATACATATAGGTCGCTTTATAGCACTCCCTCGCGCTCTACGACTCCTAACCTCCACCGCTCTCTGTCGAACCACAAACCTTGGGGCATTGAGCACCTTAACATTTCTGCTTCAATCCCCTCCCTCCAACCTCTCATTAGGCGCCCTCTGCGCCTTCTCCCAGGAGGAACCCAATCAAGGACCTTCTTCGGCAACCGGTCTCCTGCCATTCTCTGGACATGACCATACCAAATACGTTGTTTCGTCTGAATGTCATGCACGATGGTTTGTTTGGCATCCATGATCTCCCGTACCGTCTCATCCCTGACGCGATCCTCTCTGGAAATACCAGCAGATCTACGCCAGAAGTCCATCTCTGTTGCCTCTAAAACCTCCCGGGTCCGCTGTTTCATCGGCCATACTTCACACCCGTAGGCTACTATGCTCTTGACAATCGCGTTGTAGATCCTACTATGAAATAAA